GTGGGCGGTCCAACTGGGGGCGTTAGAACTAGAACTTTCAGCGGCTGTAGCTCGCTCCTCGCTCACTGTGGAGTCGCGAGAGTGGGACAGTCTCTAGCTTGGGGCTGGACTACTTGCACAAGGAAGGACGACCATGTACTACTTGAGCGCGGGGGCTGTCTTTAACTGGTTGACTCGACACAACACTTTAGCTAACATTACATTGAAGAGAAAAGTAGGAGATGAAGTATTCGCAGCAGCCTTACAGCTCTAATCATAAGCTCTTAAAGGCACCCCCCCCCGCATAGAAAAGAGTAGTGGTTTGTGCGGCTCACATACTAATGAGAAGACTGTAAGTAACAAATGTGAAGAGAAACTAAAAACCAGCTTGAAACGCCTCGTAGAGAACCTCATGCCGAACCGCGATTGTAGGTGCTGAAGGCGGAGAGAGGGCGTGGTCATTCGAAATGGAGAGAGGTAGTAGCAAAACAAAAGCACTAGATACCAACTAAATGAAGGTTGGGAGTCGCCGCGGTCAGTGGGCGGGACCGCAGTTCCGTCGCGAATGGCGCTTTTCTCACGCATATTACGAGTAATGTACATTCTATGCTTGCGGAAAGGACTAAGGACAACATACCGTATGTCAACTATGTTGACTATTTCTATAGAAGGAGTATTTATCATTAGAGAATAGACTTGTAACGTCCGTGGTACGTCTTTTGGTCCTACAACGTACACTTTCTTGATGATCGGCCCGTTGACAACCTAAAATGATTACAGCGCAATCAAATAGCAAATAACGAATCGGAGAACAAGTAGAAGTAAGAGAGGTTTTTCAACGCGAACTCAAAAAAACGAACCACAAACTCTTGAACATCTTGAGATAATGGCGTCGCTTCACCATTGGGAAGGAATAGGTAAGCACCTGACAGGCTGTCTCCTCCTCCATTTCCCACTGGAATACAAAGAAGGTTCCGAACCTGTTGAATTAACGATTCCAAATGTAAATTTGTATCTTACATGGCAGCGACTCTGAATCTGACATGTTTTTTGAAGTGTATACCAAGATTGGTTTTATTCAATCTGTGGTCTAGCTTGTGGCTGAGAGTTCCAGAGCTTCCATACTAACATTTTGGATATTCAGTTCCAGAGTGACTTTGAAAATTATAACTCCTGGTGTGTCACTTTCGTTGTTTCTATCTACTGAACGATACATTTCACGATTACGCCGCTGGGTTGGAGCGCCATTCCTGTCGCCCGCAGTACGCGCTCATCAACACAAAGACAAGCCGATTTCCATTCTAGTTGTCAAAGAAGATGGAGTAAATAAAACACTTATAATAGCACTATAGAGTTTACAGCCATTAATCAAATACCCAAAGATTAGTAACTGAGAAATATGCATTTGTTGACCGCTTGCTTGATGACTGAACCAACAGTTCTAAGACAAGGGGTGCAGTCAACAACAACACGGTACTTCACGAACAACAGCACTATCAAGACTTACAGCGTCCTTTTTCGAAATTTTCTAAACAAAAGCAAACTTTGTAGAGATTAGTATGAAGGTGGACCTTGAAAATCTTAAGCCACGTGTCTGTTCCGCATCTCAAACCCTGATTTTCTCTCAATAAACAAAAAAAAGAAACACGACGGGAGATCGTTCGAGTTTTTTCAATTATTAAAAACTTTTCTTCACTGTATCATTGTTATAAATAAATACTTAGCAAAGTAGTGAAAACATTTGTCGGTTTTTGATCCCTTTATGGGGGGGGGGGCAACTATTTTTGACTAAACAGCACCAGGAAAAATCCTTCACAGTTATGAAGCGAAATCGCGTTTTCTAGCTTTTTTTCCTCTTAAGACTAAAATGCTAGTTAGCTGCGTAATAGACTCGTATTGTACTCGTAGCAAATTTGGTGATTTTCTGGACGCAACGTGCTTTGGGAAGACACTCTGTAATTCTGCGTCACCTCAGATGCCTGTGATTCCAAGGGGGGTGGATAAGCCACTACACTCACGTCACGTTTCCACAACACATGGGCTTATCAGGGAAGTCTGCCAAATTACCAAGGAAACTTTGAGTGAAGACCTGGGTAGATCGTAGAGTCTATGAGGTTATTTACAAATATAGATAGCAAAACTGCAACCTGCATTTCACAAGCAACTTATGAGCAGGTAAAGTTTGTAATGGTGCAGTAGGGTGGAGGCTTGGTGGTGAGCTGTGAAGCATAAGCGAGGAATCGCATACATCGAATCGAGTCGTCGAACGTCGAACCTTACCACTGAACCACCACGACTCGATTCGACGTATGCGATTCCTTGCTCATGCTCACCACCAAGCCTCCACTCTATTGCGCCAATACAAACTTAACCTGCTCATAAGTTACTTGTGAAATGCAGGTTGCAGTTTTGCTATCTATTATTATTTTCTATATTTGCTCTCCATTCAAAGTCCCAAAGTAAGTTGTCGGACTTCCCTGGTTAGCCTCTTTTGAGTAGAGAACAGTGTCGTAGGGAGCTCTTGCACCTATTCCCTTGTAACGTGAAATGATTTTTTTTAGTTGCTGACTTTTCGTGATTCTTCCTTGTTTAACGAGCACTGCATAGGAGGCAGTAATACTAGAAGACGAACTTGGAGAGGGGGGGGGCTACTGCGCCCACTGACACCCCCATTTCACCCATCCCGACCCTGTACCCTGATTAGTTATCTCTACCACTTTTACAAAACCGAACGCGACATATTTCGTTCACAACAACAGACCAAGGAACTTACGAGTTTTTTTCCTGCGTGCACCATAATGGACATAATGAACGTTCACATCGATTTTTTGGTGACCATCGGGTGTTACCGACTGAAATAAGCAAACAGTGAATGAATGATCTGCTACATATAAACTACTTCAACACCAATGTAGGTACCCGCAACAAGCCGTTAGCTGCATTGAAAGAAGCCTCAATAAGTTCATTGTTCAGCGAGAACGTATCTCCTGAGATCGATTCGAAGCCAAATCCCCTTGAAATGATGCCAAAATAATTTGTTCGAGAAATACATCTCATTCTGCATGACAAATCAAGTGTAATTCTGATGAAAACGTATACAAGTAACTATCTCACCTAACTGCCGGGTCACTCAGAGCCATGACTGTTGCTAGAGATCCCGTGGTATCGGATCTTGCTATCACTTCATAAACACTTACTCCAAATGCTTCCAGTTGATCCACGAAACATAGCTAAAAATGACCGAGTAACGATAACTGCACACAATGTATTGTGGCAAAGCACTCCCTGACACTGGAGAAAATTTTGTTCAGGCGCGACCCCCCCCGCCCCCCCACCCTCCCGGCGCTCCCCCGGCAGAGCACTCATTGGTTGGGATTTTGGTCGAGTCCGCTGCCAGAGCCACCCTTCTTTTGCAGGACTTTTGTAGCGACACCCCCCCCACTGGTTCGGCATCGCTAATCGAGCTCGTCGAGGCGAGGGATATATACAATGTTGAAACGGAAAAAAATGCGAAAGCGTGCCAAAAAAATACGCCCGCTCTTCACCTATTTCTTGGACCTGCCCCAACTTCCTACCAACTCTCCGGAATTTCCCAAACATGATGAAAAAAGAAAACCACGAAACGGCCTAACCCTGCCGTCAATCACCTCTCTCAGAAGGCAATAAGGCAAATACGGCCCGCCCTCGCCCAACAACGAGCGAAGACCACCTCTCCGTCCCTCTAAAGCGTCCCTGAGACAAGAAAAATCAACTACCAAAAAATTTTCCTCTGCTCAAATGCGAGCCCCCTGCTCGGGAATCCCCAACAACGACGTGCCCTGTCCGCTCCCCCAATTTCCTCCCTGTAATACGACCCCCCCCCTTCCCCTAACTTTAACACTTCCTTTTTTTCCAAAAAAAGGTATGTAACACGTGAAATGGTAAAAATCGCAAAAGGTCCACAAAAAAAGAAATCGCAAAAGGTCCAAAAAAGAAATTAAGGAAGTTCCTTGAACTGAAATACAACTCGCCCCCTTCCGAAGCAGCGAGCTAATACGACTCCCCCTTCCCAATGGGAGTCTCCCTACATTGTGGATAGCGCACGTAAAACAGGGTAACTATCAAAAAGTTCTCAGGTGTAATACGACCCCCGCTAGAGATTTACTGTGCGCCCTTATTGTGGAGCACGATGCAAGACACACGACAAGCCCGCGTGCATTTGCAGAACATAACTGAGGGCAGCGCAGGGCGTTCTGATAACAGCTGCGTATTCTCCTGCCGACACTCCTCTCTTATACATACGTCTCTGCCTCTCTTCCGTCTGGACATTCGTAGCTACGCCTCGCGCTTTCCTTGAGTAGTCCTTTAATGTTACGCATATACCAAGTTAAAAATCTGATTTGTTCTAGCATACCTCATAGTTTCCGCTTGCCACCAAATGAAAATCTTGGAGTTCAAATATAGGCGATAATTGTTGTTGAATCTATAAAATCATTCAATTAGACGGCGGAGTCATTAAGTCAAGTTCAGAATATGTCGATGCCAATATATGGTTCGTAAGAACGTAAATTTGAAAAGAACTTAATTCTCTGAGAATATTTTTGTAAATATCCATGCACATCAAAAATAGATTCATAGGTGGGAAAACAGACTAAAGCCCCCCTCCCCTTAAACCTAACCGTACAAAAAGGAGAGGTTGCCAACGAAGGAGGCACAAATGTTTGTGGTTTTCCGCCCATTCCCTCGCATATCTAGTTATCACGGGATGTGGCATTACAAAAAGCTAGAAGAACAGGAGTAAAAGCGGAAGCTTTCTGATTCAACTCTTCCTGAGAATTACGAAAGAAGTTTTTGCAAAAGTATTTCCTCTCTAGTGTAGGTTACTGTAGTTCGCTCCAAGACACGTGTTTTTGCTAATTGTGAGCAAAAGAGATCTTTCGAAAATGATAACAAGTTACGGAGACGGGTTACGGGTTTTGACTGCAGGTTTTGAAAAATAAATTCATGTATCCAAAAAAGCACTTACCTCTTTGTTCACTGCAGTCTTCTTCAGTGCAGCGCGTGTAGAATCTACTTGGATGCATACTGGCTCATTTCTCGATCTCGCCAGTGAATTAAATAATACGAGAAATCTATAAAATGTTTGTTTACCTTTCAATTTATTACAGACACCGTTCATTCAGACATCACGATGATGTACCCTAACATATTCACCACAGCAATAATCACACTGAGCTTGCAGGCGCTCCGGCAAGCTCAGCGTGATTATTGCTATGCTATCTATGAGACCATTCACATATGCCACTGGTGAGCCTTCTTTCTTCAACGGCCAACGCTCCATTAGAGGAGGATGGATAGTCTCAATAGCGCCAAGCCGCTCATTGTGGTACTGCCTCTAAAGATACCATTCGCGATTGCAACTTGTAGCTAGAAGTAGGGTTCAAGGCGAAGGTAGGAGTTGGGCGACCTACTGGTAAAGAAAAAAAAACAAGAAACAGTAACCCTTGTTGTAATGAGTTGAACGGCTCTTCTCTTTAGTGAATCTTTATTATATGACTACGTTTCGGGCATAAGCCCTTCTTCAGGTCACTCGATCTTAAATCAAACAGCATACCCTTACAATGTTACAGCATTAATAAAGTGAACATAGCAACAACCCACACTATGTAGAAGGGGGAAGGAGTACAAAACTCCGTCAGGCCTCACTACGTAGCAGTATTGGCAGAAATAAAAGTGGAAGGATTGGGATCATTTATAAGGGTGCGGGACAAGGGTGATCTAGCATTCGTCACGTATGTCTCCATTGTGCACGTCTTATATTGATATCAAACTCATTGCCACTTTCATCTCCTCCTTGCTGTTGATGGGTGGTTGGTTCTTGCTGTACGTAGAAGGGGAAGAAGTACAAAACTGCGATAAGCCTTAGTACGTGCACAATGGAGACATACGTGACTAATTCGAGATCACCCTTGTCCCGCACCCTTATAAATGATCCCAATCCTTCCACTTTTATTTCTGTCCTACTGCTACGTAGTGAGGCTTGACGGAGTTTTGTACTCCTTCCCCCTTCTACATAGTGTGGGTTGTTGCTATGTTCACTTTATTAATGCTGTAACATTGTAAGGGTATATGCTGTTTGATTTAAGATCGAGTGACCTGAAGAAGGGCTTATGCCCGAAACGTTGTCATATAATAAAGATTCAATGAAGAGAAGAGCTTCGCCGTTCTACTCACTACAGCAAGATTAAACACAATGAAGCTCAGGGAACCATCGATTCTGAGTAGACGATACCCCTGTTAAAGCCTTATTTGCTGTGATTCATGGAAGAATTTACGAGCGTGCGAATGAGCTTGCTCCTACATGGATGGCTCCTTGCCAGGAAATCCATAACCGGTGAATGGCTTCCCCTGCAAGGTCAATTTGCGGATTTCTTTTTCACCTTACGACGTTACAGACAGCATAGCAGGTAATCATTCGCGCCATGCAGCCGTTCTCGTGTGGGCGCTCTAGGACAACATGCCCACAGCAACACGTTACAGCGCCATTAGCGTATTCACCAAGCTTTTTGAAGATAGTCGGCACGATGGATCCCCAAGACGAGTAGAATCAATACGCCTGGCAGGACAGAATTCCGCGACCCTGAGCAGGCGCTGTGTAGCACCTTTTCCATCGAAGGTACCCTTATGCAGCCCTATCAAGCTACAACATACCGACCCGCCCGCCCACAAATGGACGACCGTACCTGATGCTCGTATTGCTTCATTTGCTAAGTAAAATATGAAGCGAAGGGATTGATATGAAGCGGCTGCGGTGCTGCATGGATAATGAGTACATACGTGCAGCCGTACCTCCTGTAGCGGTTATGGATTTTAGGCCAAGTACCGAATTATCGTGCCAACTGCCGCTAAGAGAAAGTGGTCACAGCGCTTGTAAGTGTGGAACTACATAGACGGGACACCACTTATTGAGTAATCGTAATTGTGTCTTAAAGCATCGTTCTAAGTAATTGTAAAATATCGCCAAGAGTCAACTCACTCTCCAATCTTATAAACTCTTCTAACAGGCAGCGAATCCTGCTCCTTTCGGTACTCGTCCAAAATTAAACTCGTGCTCGAAATCGTTCTGGTGCCTATCAGTCCTCCCAGCGCTTCAGAAAGCACACTCTCTGTTCCTTGTAAAGCGGACAGCATTCTATAATCATTCACATATTCCTTTGTAACAGTATATAAAAAACGAATCAATAAGAGAGAACAGCTGAAATTTCGCTCTTTCCTTACTTGTCACCGTAGTCCCTCATCACATGGTCTTTCGCTGTGCCAGTTACACCATCGTGATGTTGGAATAATGAAAGGGCTCTCCTGGCTCCAACAAGACTACCAAAAACCTAAACGGGCCATATATACAAAACATAAACATAAATACAAGGATAAGTTATATAAATATAAGGAAAATTCGCGAATCAAGAGGTTCTGCGCAGTGGGAAAATATACGCATCGATTCATCGAGTCCGCACTTTTGGACAATGCTCGAGTCGCGGAGCGCTCGATTCTCCACCCGACTTTCGACCCATCTCATCCTTTTTCAAAAAAACGCAGATGTTCACAATCGCAGAGTATAAACGCGTCCGCATTGCCGGGAAACAGGTTTGTTAAAAACTAGTAATCACTTTGAGTCATCAGAAAAACAAGTATACCTCATCCGAGAATGTTCCACCTTTCATCAAACGCAACGACAACGCAATTTCAGCAGCTCGTAGTTGATGTAACAGCTGACGATCCATCTGCTTATAGAATGGTCGAGATGTGAAGTAACCTGAAGATCATAAACATGAAAACAAAGAATCCAAGTCAGTAACATGCTGCGGATAAAACTCAAGCCGCTTAGAACGAACCACTCCAGTAATGATCATCTCTATCCGAGTAAGTGAAGAAATCTCCAGATAGAACAGGTAAAGATTGTTGCTCAGCGCGAAGTGAACGATCCAACTCGGCAAAGTAATCTGACAACGTGCCAAAACGGGCCTAAAATCATAACATATAGGTAACTTAAACATTTTGTAGCTTCGGTACTTTAGCTGGGGTAAGATCGTTGGCTAAGAGGCGGGTCAGCAGCTCCGGCACGATTAGTGGAAGGGGGAGACGGCGACACTATCGCGAGCTAGTCAGGTCACGCCGCTCACGTTGCGCGCGGCGAACGGCGCGGCACTCCATCCCTGAGTTATCACTGTAGCAAGGGGTCTGAGTTAGTTCGCAGCGTCTCCGATCAACATTCCATTGTAGGCCCTCCATGCGTGATCCATTAGGAACTTGAACGAGTCTGAGATGGCACAAATCGTACGCGATGGCTGCAACGTCGCCAGCCACCCGTACCAGCGCGGCCGCCTTCACAGCGCCCTCACGACTGAATCCCCATATACCCTTGGTGGCTCGACGGGCGTTGGGACACAACTCTAGCGCATTGGAAGGAGAGCTCTCCGACCAATAAAAATAGAGCTACCTCGCCTCCTAGTCAAAGCGTAAACTGTCTTCTGGTAAAACATGACTCACATGTACATTCCACTCCTTGTTATTGTTCATCGCATTGAAAAGTTTCATATAATTTTCGTATTGCTCTTTCCACTCCATCTCTCCATCATATCTAGAAATAATCTTGGATATTCAATAACTGAAGAGTATTCTATAATGTCCAAACAAAAGTGAGGATATGCGGTAACAGTAGCTTACCTAAAATCGTCGCCTAACGGTACTAAGAGGACGTTCGTTTTATAGAGCTGGCTTTTCTTTCTGTACTGATCATAAATGAAAAAGGATCTGAAAAGGAAGCAGGGGTGATGACGAGTAATATACCACTGCAAAAGACAGGGACAACAGCAAAGCGTGGGCGGGACCCACCACATCAACGGGCAAACCAAGATGTCATCTTATATGGTAATGAAAAACTTATCACATTATACTTTAATGGTGTCTCAAAATGCGCCATTAGTGCAGTGCGTGACGTCAACGACAGGTCATCCCCTCTCTCTCACAACCCCTGGACCTGCTATATTAGCGCCAAAAGGCTTGTTCATACTTCACGACTTCTGCGATTCACTCGCGCATCTAATCTCGCACCAACGGTAACCGAGATGGCAGTTGCAACGATCCAAGATAGTGGTTGGACCACTGCGACTGCAGTGGTTGGACCACTGCGA